TATTCAATTTTAAAAATCGAGAAGCTCGAATTAGAGGGTCTATCGAGAAAACCGGGGCGACAAAATAATTCCATCGCTTTCACGAAATTTAACTGTCATTGTTTATAGACACATTACTCGATAAACTTCGTGGAACTTCTACCGAGTATGTCGGGCAAATTTTTCGAATCTTAGAGAAGCTCCACTACCCGGAACAGAGGGAAATCCAATGGCATCAGGTCAGGTAAATATGGCGGATAGTCGAGCAGTTCGCGACCCACATTATTCCGTTTGGCTTTTCACATATTCATGCCGTTCCACACCTTGCCAGATTACTGTAAGGGTATATCAATAAAAGCAAGAATTTCTTCCTCGAGACCAATATTTTCAATGGTGGACAAAACTTGCGTCCTATTCTATTTCACTAGATGTCACCCATTCACAACGGTCCAGCTAAGCAAGGGAACGGAGGTGAGCAATAAGGTCTCACTACATGTCGAGCGCGAAATGTGCCTATGAGAACTGTAACGGAGGTGTTGTTACGTCAGGGAGGCATCATATTCCCTTTTGGTGCAACAAAACTCCTTTCGATTCTGAATGACAACCAATTACGTGGCACACTCCAGAATCGAAAAAAACATTTCTGGAATTTTCTATTCGTGCCTGAGTAAGGTGGCATGCAAGCGCGCATCGGAGATCCGAATCAGCTCAGATCAATCAATCAGAAAGATGAAGACATGCAAAAACAGTATGTAAGTGCAACATCACCGGCTGCTTCTTTCCCTTCTAGACCTCGAACCATTCCGTACTCCGCTTCTGTACTTCTGATTTGTCCTGTTTAGGAGAACGCTTTGTTCCATCAGCATTCCTCTATAAGTCCCTATAAATGCGCAATTCAAATGCCTTCAGGTACTCTAGCGAGAGTCGAGTGCATGGCGCAGCCCAGAAGTATTGATTAACATCGTCTTTGTTTGCTGCAAAGAAATAATTTTACACAGCATTTCAACGAATATCGTTGGATGATTTGTAGGCTTTCGATGAAGCATTAAGACAACGTGAAGCTGATGTATCAGAGCACATCGGGGATGCGAATCAATCCAGGCTAGGCAATCCTTGAGTCTTCCCATGATCGTCTTACTCTCCCCACATTTGTCTTGACGTGAGGATCTCTTAGCCCATTACCTGATCTTTGTTAGTCTTTGTACAGGGGAAGTCCCCTTCCAAGTGCATTTACGGACCTAAATATGTGTCATGTGCATGGTGCATCGCTGGAGTGTTGATCATCTCCGGTCACATCATCTTTCTCCTATGGTTGAGACTATAGAGAATTGTTTTACCCCGTCTTTCATCAAATATCGATCGAATGATTGGTGGACGTTCAACGAATCGATAAAGCATTCACCGTCCACGTTGAGCCTATACTTCCCCAGATTTGAACGGCGATGTAATAAACCCGTTGTGAAGATGTTATCGAGTCAGTGACAGTAGGGAAACGGGATTTTCGTGTGACTCAGCTATCGCAATGAGTTTCGCTGGTCACCTGATGGCCCGTAAAGCTTCGTGCCAGCTGTTTTTCCACCACATCCATCATTCAGCAACACCAACAGTTGCTCTATCATAATAAAATAGCGCGTTAGTAGAGTTAATGACAGCGGTAGGCACTCTTAACCAGAAAATCCGCAACTGGTAGTCTACTTTCATCTGGAAGGTTGAGGTGGTCAAGTGCAAAGTGGCGCCGCTATAGAACTTATCTACAGCGATTGAATACCCGATCGATACTCCGGAAACCAACAGAGCCTTCCGTCCGTGAGGTTTGTTGTATCGCTCTCGTCTTGGAAGGTAACAGCGCTGACTTGTTTGTATCAGCTAGCCCGTTCACAACCATTCAAACATTAGGACAATTTTGAAGAGAAATCGATTTCCGGCGCATTCCGAAGTGGGACACTCAAATAACTTTGTCTTTCCAGTTAAACAGCCTACTGAATACAATATATAAAGTACAGATAGCAGTAGCTTAGTAAGCCTTCCCATCCGATTGGTCATTCATTGCCCATCAAACAGCCCGGTCGACGAGAATCAAAATCGCTGGCATACTCATCGTCGATCAGTATGACTGATGATGAAGCATCCCATCGAGCCACGTGAATAGAGCAACTAAAAATAGAGTAGAATAGCAGCTCATCACTGAAGAAAATAAAGTAACATGAAGACACATTTAACACTAAAAGTAGAAAAAATGCCGGAAATTCGATAAATGTCACGAAAAAAGAGAGAAATAAATATTAAATTTAGCAGTAAACTATGAAGTAAACCGAAAACATTGTATACGATCCTATGCCGTGGTTTTTTAATAAAATAAGTAACAATGAGTGATAGCTTAATGGCTTACTGTTAAAACGTAATAGAAAAAAGTGAATTCTGCAAAAAGCAACAAAAAAAAGGTAAAAAAGCGACTTTCGACCGAATGAATTTATGATACCAGATTATAGTAAGTTGTAGATGCTGAGCCTGATATCTAACTCGACTGACAGACTAGAGCATTTTGGGATACTCTGTAATTTCTAGGGAGATTTTAAATTTTTTAATCTCGTTTGAAGGTACTGCTCTTCAATAATTTTCGAGTACTTAATATACCTACTTTGATGGGCGATTGATGAGGTCTTAATAGGAAATCAATATCTGATTTGAGAGGGAAATCAGATTTGAAAACTTGGTGAATTAAACACGATTGCAATTTATGGCAGTTCAATGCGCCGTAAAAAATAAAGCTTGGAGTCCATCTTTCACCCCCTCTGAATTTCTGAATTCCAATTTTCAAAAGGATTTGTCCCCATTTCAACATCTTTGTTGTACAGTGCGCCTAGTGTTTGTAGGAGTTGTTTTACCGAGCATAAATACACACCTCCAGTCGTTATAATAGGGTATTCCTTTTTTTNTCAAAACCAAGCCACGGTATTCGCGGCCACCTCGGTCATTTTGTCGAATCTATTTCTATGAGAGGGGAAGGGTCTCGGCACGAGTGACCACGACGGTCGCATAACTCTTTGAATTCCCGCGTCCCTGCGCGCTAGCCTAACAAAGCATCATATCTAACCTAATCAATAAAATAGGGTCTAACAGGGATTCCGAGTCAGATCAAATTGCCGACGTTTCGAACAAATTTCTCGTAACTTTAATCAACCTGGTCCCAGAAATATCTTGTATTTTCCTCAAGGACCGTGGCTTGGTCATTTGATTGATTTAAGTAATTTCGAGTATTTCTCAAAGTAAAAACTGTTTTCTTTAGGATTGACGGTCAGTGTGAGCGACTGGTTCAAACCCACATGATCTTTTGAACATAGGAACCTATGGATCCCATATCTAGGTGTCCCTTATCAGCAGACAGTAACCCAGGCTGTGGTGGCTCGATCACGTGCACGCCAATGTCCACTTGCCCCGCCCCTTGCCTATAAAACCCGGCCAGAGTCCGAGGTCCACTGTCAGTCTGTGCCGAGATGCTACGTCTGTTGTCGTTGGCGCTTCTATGCGCTGTAGTTTTAGCTAGTATTGATGGGTTCAGAAGGTTAGTACTATAATATTCATATATCAGAGTTCTTATCATTAATCAATGCTAGTTTTTTTTTATAAACAAAAACACTCCTATGAAAAATTGGGTAGATTCCGGCTGCCGTTATCGATTGATTGGTGGTTAATTGGCTGTTGTCATCATTAACATAAACATTTCCAACGTTAAGCTTTTATTGCTTCTTGTTTCTGTTTGTTATGCATTGGTTGAGCACCTTATCATCTTAATCGTTTACTGATATCGAACTGGTTTGGAGAGTTTGTACTTTCCTATTCCGCTACCAAGCAAGGAAGAAACTAATAGGAAAAACGATGCCATGTGGAACCCGAACACTAGTTCTTTCGCAGACATATTGTGCCTTTCAATCGGAAGAGGACAGTACTAGCAGTATTTAGTAAGTATGTGAATGAAAAACAGCTACTTTGATGTTCAAAAAGAAAACAAAGTATCTTTGGCGTAATAGACTGCTTTGAGGACAAAGTGTACAGATCCCTATCTGGTGTTTCCTCGAATTTTGAGCTCTAGTGTGGCTGAGTCAAACTCGAAAGATGATTTAAGTTCTCAGAGATTCTGTATAGTTTTTTAAAGGGAACTTTTCCCTGGAATTTGCATAGCCTTGTAGTTGGTTATCTTCATTCTTTTTCTTGTTTTTCTATAGACATTGTCGACTTAATAGCGGCTTCCTCTAAGGTCTTAGAATAATTCAAAAGAAACAGTTAAAACTAAACAAAAAGTACAGAGTACCAATATCAGAGAGCATTAGCAGCCTGTAAATGCTTCTTGTAGGTGTCTGTTTTGTTTCTTATGACTCATTTTTGTTTACATGGTGGAATGCATCATAAATTCTTAATGGACAATAAGAAAACTTATACATCAATGAGTCATGAGGTGCTTTGGATTCTCATACTATTCAATTTTATCTTCCATTGATATTCACGTATAAAGACTAAGCTTTTATCCACTCATAAGCCGTGTTTTTTGCGAAATGTGGTTGGAACAAGACTTTGACCCATCCACGTCGTAACGATTTCATCAGATCGAGTTTCCCAAGTGACGAAGAATCCTATGACCTTCACTTCTGAGTACTAGCAGCTGTCATTATTTTCATGAAATAGAAATGAGTCAAATCGTGATTGAGTAGATCACCTGACTATTAGATGCACGAGCCTTTATGCCCAGTGTTTGGTCTCGGGTAAAAGTCCAAGGAAATGGGCTGAAGGTTTGAGTGACTCACTCGGAAGCTGTCACAAGTGGCTGTCACAGCATCACAATTACCCTTTGGTAAGGACTGGTTCGAGTGGCAGCTGCTACGCGGCGATCACTTTCCTATTTGTGGGCATTTGGCACTTATAATATCTTTCCAGACATGAACGACATTTAACTTAGTCTTTAGTTATATACATTTGTTTTGCTTCAAAAAAAACTTCGATTTTATAAGTAGTGTGAAGCACGATATATGAGTATCAGATCCAGTTTTTTAAGACATGATCATGGCGTCCGAGTGCACAGACAGAAAAGTCTTCGCCAAAAAATCGACGAGGCTTTTAATAAATGGGATGACTACAAGGAGACATTTGGTTAGTTTATTTATTTTTTGACAAATTTGAAACTATGCGAACGTGTCAGAAGGGTGCATTTTTGCTTTTCCTTCTGTCATGTTCTCATTAGAACAGTTCACACTCAGTGTAGGCGAATGCTGTTGCAAACACGGCTATGTTTAGCCTTCTATTTGACGAATAAGACCGGCTTGCAGTGGCAGCTCAAGTTCTTGTTTTAAGGAAAGTCATATGAACCGGATGAAGAGAACGACTACATGGAGGCCTTTGTGAAGAACGTGATTCACATTGAGGAACACAATAAGGAACACCGTCTTGGTAGGAAAACATTCGAAATGGGTCTCAACGAAATTGCTGATTTGGTAAGTTTTCCTGCACCTTGTAATGTGTTGTATAAGGTCAATATACTTTATTTAGCCATTCTCACAATATCGAAAACTCAACGGGTATCGTATGCGCCGCCAACTTGGCGATTCTATGCAGTCCAATGGCACCAAATTTTTGGTTCCCTTCAATGTTCAGGTAGGTTAACAGAGCTTGAATAATAGCGATGCAAAGTCATTACTTTAAAAAAAGCCATTTGGATGGTAGTACGAGACGAGTTCTTGTAGCGGAAACGAAATTTTCATTGTACACCATGGTTTTCTTGAATTCCAATCGTTTTATAGACGCATTTCAGATTCCGGAATCTGTTGACTGGCGAGAGGAGGGACTTGTGACTCCAGTAAAGAATCAGGGAATGTGTGGATCGTGCTGGGCATTCTCCTCTACTGGTGCTCTAGAAGGACAACATGCACGTGCCACTGGCAAGCTGGTGGGTGTTCACTTTTGCCCATTTATTTGCGAAGGAAGGAAATATTAAATGATTCCGAAAGTTGCAATAATTCGAAAAAATAGTTGCATTCGCTAAGCCTAGCCTTCTAGGTTTCCCTTTCCGAGCAAAATCTTGTCGATTGCTCAACGAAATACGGAAACCATGGCTGCAACGGTGGTCTCATGGATTTGGCGTTTGAATATATCAAGGAAAATCATGGTGTCGATACCGAAGATAGTTATCCATACGTCGGAAGGGTAAGGGGTACTCTGGCGTTAATACTCTGGACAGCAAATAAGGAATCTGTTTCAGGAAATGAAATGCCACTTCAAGAGAAACGCCGTTGGAGCCGATGACAAGGGTTTTGTAGATCTTCCTGAAGGCGATGAAGAAGCATTGAAGGTGAACGCGAATTTCCTTCCATATGCTTTTCAATTCATTCCGTGCTTCTAATACTGTATCCATGTCTGGTTTAGAAAGCAGTTGCCACTCAAGGTCCAATTTCTATCGCTATTGACGCTGGTCACAGGTCATTCCAGCTGTACAAGAAGGGTGAGCCATTAGTTGCTGTTGCTGTCTATAGGGGTCGCGGTTATCTTATTTACACGAATGGTTTATACGACACACGGCTTATTGCTTGGCGGGGTGAACCGTGCTGTCCAGCACCTTATCTAATCTTCAGAGTTATCCCTATGTGATGAAATCATTTGGTGGTACAATCCATTTTTAACCATAACTGATAACGCTATCACCGGCCGGTTGTTTAACGACCTTCAACTGACAATAAGGAAGCTGTTCAAATATTGAGGTGGTACATTAGTTGGCTATGGGAATTTTAAGGGTGACTCAAAAGTTAAACAAGCTCACCTTCCATTTCGAAGAATGAATTTTTGCATGGATTTAGGAGTATACTTTGACGAAGAGTGTTCGTCTGAAGAACTGGATCACGGTGTTCTTCTCGTTGGATACGGTACTGATCCCGAAGCAGGAGATTATTGGCTTGTGAAGAACAGGTGAGCGTATCTGTATTATCTGAGTCGATGGATTTATTTTAACGTTTTTTTAGCTGGGGACCAACTTGGGGAGAGAAGGGGTACATTCGCATTGCCCGTAACCGCAACAATCACTGCGGTGTTGCAACGAAGGCCAGCTATCCGCTCGTTTAGGGATGCAGCTCAGGACTATGTTCTACCTAGCGCGGTTGATTCTATGGCATTAATTCTTGTTATTTTGTATAGCTCACATTTACTACATCGCTCATTTGGTGTTTTTAATTGATTTTTTGTGTACATAGGTGTTCCTCATCATTTGTTCAATAAACCGTTCGAAGTCTAACAATGTCTTCTCCATATGCAGAGAATCCTGTTTTGGCATATCATACTTTATTGACTTTAAATTTTGGAGGATTGAGCTGTAAATTAATGTAGTTGTGTTTTTGTGTGGTATCATACCGGTTGTTATACAAGGGTTTATTAGAAGTAAAGGAAAGGCCGAGCTTGACATCTTTGTCTCCGCTTTTTGATGTATTTTGGCAAAATTTGCTTATTCTAATTGTGCATCATGCAAAATTACCAAAAAATGCACCTTTGAATTTACGAAAAAATCTTTTACAGCCGCTTAAATAAAGGTAATGAGGGGGCTAGATACATTTGTGATTCGCTGCGAATACTTTAAGGCGCTTTGGATTTCCTAGTTAGGGAAATATGGACCTTGGAAGAAGTTAAACAGTGCGTGGTACAGTGCAGACTTTAGTTCCGTCTGTCGTCTGTTCAAGTGATTTTGATTCGGACTGTTATCCTTTCAAGTAAGTAAGCGTAATACTAAAAATTACATAGCTGTTTCTAAGACGTTCTTGTGGGTTGACCGATACGAACAGATGCCAGTTCGGGTGCCCGCTGACACGGCTGTCACAGCTGATTGGGAAGTAGCCGACCACTGATGACAAGGTGAGCCGCCATCGGGAGTTTACTGTTACTTCAACAGTTGTTACTTCCACAGCGAGGCTACAGGAAGGTGACATCAAAATTTTAACTGAGTACTTAGGCGGCAACAGTTGAGATGCTTCAGCCTAGTAGTTTTTCTTTCTGGCGCGGAGAGTGAAAGTCTTGAACATTCTACAAGATATCGTCGCAAATTCATCAGGACATTTCATTCAGATATGGTAGTTGCGTAAAAAGCTGACGTCATTTTAAGCTGGTGCCGCTCTATTATGTTCCCACATTTGTTTCTGTGCGAACATTTCAAATCATCTAGGGGGAGGCTGCAGAAAGAAAAAATACATCTGACAAATGCGGTTCAAAACCAATAATAAAATTGCTAAACGACCCAGTGGTGGGTGGATGGCTAGAAATTTTGAGGTTTTTCTTAAGCTGCACTCACTTAATCACTTGTATCTCAGAAATCATGTAAGCTCAATAGTTTGTTTTTGCTTACCTATGGCTCGTAATAATTCCTATGCTACCTGATGGAAAGTTCGGATACAAATAGTAAGCTCATAGGCTAGGACGGCTCTTTTCTTGTTTTTTCTTTTAAATTGGTTTTGCTGCATTCATTTATAATTGCTGATTCTATTTAAACGATCCTATACATTGTATTACGCGATGCGTCTAAAGTTTCTCTGGTCAGACCGAACTTCATAAATACGTATGTTCCTATTTATACTCATTAAGCAAGAAAGTAATAAACAAAAAGCCAATTGTATGTCTAAGTTCTTCTCTTAATTATATCGTTTCAATTTCGAAAAACCGACTTAGTCACACCGCTTACTTCATATACACCCACATTTATTCGTATTCATACTGTCTTTTCTAAAGATGTAGTTCATTTTATTTGTTGCAGAAACTCGTCATGGATGTTATGGCCTTGTTCAAGCGACCGTATTCCGACACAACACTATCTAGCACAGACCACTGCGGCTTATTAACGTTGGGGTATCTATTTACTGTAAGTCATTTACTTTATGCCATTCACTATTTTTCCTAATCATCCAGTCATATAGCGTTAGGTTCATAGGATAAAAAAAGCCGTGTAAAGTAGATTTTTCTTACCATCTTATACTGTAAGGGAAAGTTGGCATACATAGATCTCGACTTTTTTTGATTTTTATTCATAAAATATCACAAAGCGGGATGTACTAAAGTGATATGTATGATCAATGCGAACTCAGCCAAAGGTACAAAGTATTTGTAGCTCTATTTTAGACACTTTATTTAGCGTGGTCTGAAGATATGTGACATAGATATCTGTCGCTTTCTTCGAGCTTTACAGCGATATATAGCAACTGCTATAAAGAACAGAAGCGCAGTACATACAATCCAACCGAAGATCTGAAAAATGATTTCGAGATCATAATTAAAGTCAGCATCTTTTGATCAATCATTTCGATAGCTATAGATAGATATATCTTAAAAAGTTTTACCCGGTGGCCAGGGCATTCGAAGTATATGCTACCTGTCGGAAAAGACTCCGCCAGGTTTTACGTATGATTAATTATCTAGAAACAAGTCCGAGTGTTAGAGTTTCCGACTTTTTACCCAAATCGTTGAGGTGAAAACATGAACAGGTGCTCAGATCATCAGTTGCGTAGGAGGAGTAAAGGGTGGGGGTAGGGCTTTGAAGGTGATAAGAAAAAGAGCTTTATGCAATGGTTTTTGTATGGTGTTTTGGTCTATTGCGGGTGGCAGCATCATTTTGAGACACATGCATAAGGAAACCGCAGAAACCGGTGGAGTGGCCGTGGTAGCATGGCTTCTTCTTAGAATTACTGACTTTTTTGTAGTGCACTTGTGGAACTGAGGATAAGAAATTTGGGAAATGGGAAAAAAGAGTCCTTGTTCCCAAATAAACTCTCACTGCTTTCAGAAACCCTTCCTGTCTGTCACGCCAATCCTTTACTTTCTTAGCAGTGGCACGAATGTTTTCACTGATAAGGTGTCTCCCACTTATAGACAATAGCAGTGGTGTGTTATAGGGGATTGGTACTGATTTTACCGATTCTCATTCTGTAGTAACTCATCTGTCGGCACTGTAGGAATACTTTGTCTCGCTGCTAATCGTTTTTGTAAAGCTTTGTGGCGCAAAATTACTGGAAAGCTAGGTTGGCGATTTGTGGGCAAAACTCCAGTCTCGGACGGGACTCGAACCCGTACATACTTGTCCTTTCCATGGACCGTGCTCTTATCCCTCACACTATCGAGACCTCGCTTGCCCTCGCCTTTGAATCTTATGTTCTCAGTTCAGTTGATATGATAAATTAGTAGGAATTTTACACATGCTCCCCGGAAAGGACAAGTACGGGTTCAAGTCCCGTCCGAGACTGGAGTTTTGCCCACAAACCGCCAACCTTGTGAGACTTTCGCTTCGCGCACTGCGGCGTTAAAACAGCAGTTAACAAAACATCAAGTCAAAACAAGTACTATCATGTAAAGCTTACAGCTTAACGGTTTTGTGCTGATATCGGCCGACCGGCTCAACACGTTGTACGTGTGAGTGCTGATAAGCTATGGCATATAAGCCATTAAGAACGCGAGGGCAAGCGGGGTCTCGGTAGTGTAAGGGATAAGAGCACGGCCCCGGAGAGGACAAGTACGGGTTCGAGTCCCGTCCGATACTGGGGTTTTGCCCACAAATCGCCAACCTTGTGAGACTTTCGCTTGGCGTGGCGTTAAGACAGCAGTTAACAAAACATCAAGTCAAAACAAGTTATACTGGAAAGCACTCACACTGATATATCCGCAACAGTTTGTGTGAGTTATTCCGCAACAGTAGTTCCCATAGAGACCGTACGAAGTACAAGTGTTTACACCGAATAAACATTCCTAAAATGAAGTAAGAGAATGCTGTACAGATCACTTATCCGGAATCTAGACTCAGAATTTACTTCGGTGCCAGTAGGAAAGAAGTCAGGCGATCGTTGTGTATCCTAAATATGACCTTTGAATCTTATGTTTTCAGTTCAGTTGATATGACAAATTAGTAGGAACTTTACATTGAGATAAATGTTATGCAATTCTATAGTTTTGGAGTTCACCTGAAGGGGATTTATCCCTTTTAGAGACATTCTGGTTCGCCTTCGGATGGAGAAGTTTGGTTTGAGTAACTTGGAAGTGTCTTTTAGGCGTTTCTGAACTATTTCCTTTCATGACAAACCATCAATTTTAAGGGGGAATCTACAGAAAAACCTACCGCTCAAGACTGAAGTGCTGCCTGTAACTAAAGTTTATCTTTGGATTCCATAAACAAGTTTCTACGTACTATCACTATCCATCTTGACATCATTACTCAAGGAATCGGTGGTCGATGAAGTGCATTTCAGGGGGCAATCTTTGAATATCTGCGAGATGGATAGGGGGTACTGACGTATTGTCTGGAAGCGTTAAACAGACCTGTCAACAGTCACAACAGTCACTCTCATGGATCTTGTCTGAACAAATGTGCTCATTTCCCACCCGTTCATTCATTGGTTTTGAAGAATTCTGGGAGTAGGATAAAGTAGTGCTTTGGTTTTTGGATATTTCAGAAATCATTCATTTCTATCATTTTTTCGAGTTCGCGCCCAGTAAAATCTTTTATAACTAGCCATCGATATCATGGCGTGTGGTGAAGAAGGATGATGGTAGATGCCCTCCTATTCAACGCTCTTTCTTTTGAAAACTTCGGAGGCCGCTCCTTCCACCACATCAAATTCCTTATTTTTGGCCTGATCCTTGTAGGGTCGTTAAATTCATGTTCACTTTTCAAGTAGTTGATTGGACCGGTGAAGTCTAGATGCCCATTGATTGTTTTTCAGAGGATCGAGAAACGAAAATCGGTGGAGTTTCGGGCTTTTTAGAATTCAAGGTTGAACATCTTTTACTGGGAATACAGGTAAACTTCCTTGTTGAGCTGGGGAAGTTGGGGAGGACATCTCGTCACCGCGTTTGAATACATGAAATATTCCGCATCTGGTAAGAAAGGCAACTCAGGTGTAGAAGACTCCTACGAGAAGTTGGGAAGAGATAGCATTCAGCAACTTTCAACTTCCTACGCCGGCCTAAGTTGTTATCGAGGGCAAGCTTCCGTTTGGAATTGCAATTTCTCTTATCAGCTCTAGGAGATTGTCACATTTTCTTCGTTGATCCCATTTAATGTTTTCGCATCTCGTTGAAGTCAGACTATTTAGTTAGTGAGGCATGGTGCACCACGAGGCACCATCGAGATCGCTGAGCTCAAACTAGGTCACCTCATATACTCCTATGCGAATTTTTGCCACGATCTTATTAGTATCACCGTATGATTAATTCATACAGTCTTCACCCTCCCCTTACTTTCGATACCTAGAATTGGCATGGTTTCCTTTCACTTGAAAAAGCCAACTTACATGGAGAGTCTGTAGATTTGGAAACAAACATGAATGATGCTGTGAGTTTGCTTGCTTGTAGTTATCTACCCATCATAGACGGTTGTCGGAAGGTATCACAGCTTCCGAGCAGCTAGTATACTCGAACAAGCTCATTGACAGTTTTAGAGTTAACAGGCATTTCTATGCTGGTAATCAATTTGCTCTTGCAGCAAACCTGCTGTCCTGTCGGTAATCATTGCTGTCACTCTTGATGTGGTTATACGAAATTTTCCTGATTGTATTGTTCGAATGATGAGATAATGGTTTGTTCTTGAACGGAGCGGATCATCTTTTTCTTTATTTTCATAACTAATGCTAACATATTGGTACTGAAGATGCAGTCGATATCAGTGGCAGGACATTGACTAAATGCCACGAAATTGGCTGAAGAAATTTGGTGATGTCGAATGCCATCAAACGATTTGCACATGGAAAATTTATCTTCTGCACACCAGAATGAGTATACAGAGCACTATGCTGCCGACCAGTACACCAGCTATAATCCATCCGGCTATCTGAAATGTTCGCAACATTTAGTTTAAGGGAGAACAACATAAGTTTATAACAGTGTTTGACATCTTTATTTTGCATATTGGGTAGTATTACTTACGGTAACTGATCCACAACAATCATTCAAGAGAGGTCCACAGCAGTGTTGTTCATATACGCCAAATGATTGGCACTCTTTTCGAATACATGTCTGAATTTTTAAATTTGAAAACTGAGGATTTAAACTTTTGAAAAACAGCTGACGGTGGCGAGTTTTCATTTGATCACACCTTTTTACCGATAGGGAAGAATTCTGGCATTGATGTTTAAGCGGGGCGTTCACTTAGATTCCCTTTGGCGATGGTTCTTCCTACCAGCTTCTGGAAAACATTCTTCTACGAAAGAGCATTCTTATAAGAAGTTCTTGTTCGACAAGCAACATGACTTACCAACCCTCAACGCGCTGAAGTCAGCTGCTGCCGATAGAATGAAGTTCTATGTTAGAACGCATTTATATAGTAGAGAAGTATCAGTCCTGTATCAGTATCGCATGCAAATCATTGCTCGGATTTGAAGAACATCAATCGGTAGAGTTGTGGAATCATCGAGTCTTGTTCTGGGTCTGCCTTTTCATTAACTGAGGTGATCAGTCAGGATTTCCTATCAAGGTGTAGCCGATAGTATTGAGTAGTCATCGACTGGAATTAGGTAGATGCCGCCTGGATATGAATTTGCTTCAGACGTTAAAAGGTATCACCCAGAGTAGCTGATCCTTGGCGATTGGCACGGTTTGCATTTAGGATTTTTAGTCATTTAAAGTAGTAAGTTTTCCATCGTTATTTTCTCCTGCAGAAAAATAGACATTGTTTGAAGCGCAGGCGACACTTTAACCCAGATTTTCTCTGTCCACAGCGATTGAAAAGAAGCTTGATTAATAGTCATGAAGTTCGCTGCTGAAAAGCAAAACTCACTGATTGCAGGTATCGTGGCATCTGCTATTCTGAATTATGGAGATGCCCACGAGATCCACGATCAAAACTGGCATGATTTTCTTCGCTTTCTCAGCTTTTTATTCAGCAAATCCTTATTTTCAGGTAGAACCAAGCTTGGCAGGATGAGTAAGTAAACATTATTTAAAAGTTTGTATAGATAGTTTGAATTTGCTTCAAACGTTTAAAGGTATTACCCAGAGTGAATGATCCTCAGCATTTCATTTGATATACGCCAATCGATTGGCACGGTTTATATTTAGGACCTTTAGTCAATTAAAGTGGTAAACTTTCCATCGCTAGTTTTCTCCTGCAGAAAAAAATACGGCATTGTTCGCTGCGCAGGCGACGCATCTGTTTAGACTTTCTCTGTCCACAGCGATTAAAAAGAAGCTCGATTGATAATCATGTAGTTCCCTAAAATCAAAACTCACTGATTGCAGGCATCGTGGAATCTGGTACCAAGGATCAAATATGAGCTGAAAACGACGAATTTGAAAAGTCAGGGATGGAGAATTCATGGAATGTCGAGATGAAAAATCAAGGTTAGATAGACTTCGATCATTTTACTCCGCTCTGTGACCGTCCTCACCGCAGAACCTGAACTTCGAGATCGATAGCCTTTGGAAAAAAATTGGCATAAAACTTGCTCACAACCGTTACAAGCAAACTGAGCTGGTGCATGAACTACAAGCCTTTACTTTTTAACAGCAAGAGGAGCTAGAATGTCATGGAACATTCTTGTTCTTTCTGCAGTTAATTATTTTCGGAGCATTTAGCTGTTCTTTTTTAAAGCCTTTCCGCACGGCGAGCTCAGAGATTGTTGGTAACACAGTACGCACTACTAAGAGATGATTTCTTATTTTCGGGGAGCCTCTTTGTTGTTTCGAATATTTTGCGATATTTGCTATTTACCGTTTTTGTTTGTATCTTCCGAAGCGCGTAAAATTTTAATTGACGGTGTAAAGGGTTAAACGGCCTTTCCAGCGAGATGTTTTTCTTCCTTGAGGCGGGCGGAGGTGTATGACCGTCCAGCAAGGGGTGCTGATTTTGTATTTATATTTATTACATGATGTATCCCATGTGATAGTAAAAAAGGAAAAAGTCAATAACTTCGACGACAATGTGGTACCGTGTTTAAATGCAGCAGACATAAGATTTGTGTAAATTGCAGCTACAATCTCTCGGACGGGAAGAATGCTCGCATGAGCATTTCTAGTTATTATAAAATGAATTTTGTGTGCAGCAGTATTATACCTTGTTCTCAGGAAAACACAGAGGGCTAGGGGTGCCTGCAAGGATTCCATGATTACTGTTCCCATTTTCTCTTCTGTGTTTTCTACCCATTTCAATTTCTTTTGCGAGTATGTCTATGGAATCCAACTTTACATGTTTTGAAGGCGATTATGCCTGGTCAAATGCCGAAAAACTTATTATCAAGCTCTGAACCTTCAACTCGATCGAATAATGTATGGCCATAACTCCTCTTTATAACTCATACGTCATTTGTAGATTTTCGGAGAAATTGTCCAAGTCCATCGCGCATTCGCTTTTTCACTCTCTCATATAAAAATTTCTGGACGCAAAACTTGCTCGGACAAAAAAAAACAATAATTTCCTGGTTTCACACCATGAATCATGCTAAGAAAATCGTCCATTATGGTAATGAAAAAACAAAAGAGACTTAAGATGGCCGTCATGATTGTTCACTGGAAGTAGTACGGTAAATAAATGCAGTAAAAAGTGCCTGTAGGAATGTTTTTGATTTCAGACGCGGTGACAGAAGTGCGACGGAACTTGTTTTCAACTAGCAGTACGCTATATAAACGAGTGCTGTAACGCCGAGTAATGCGATGCTTTAGCCAAGTTTACCATTCTTTTATTGTCGACTATTGTTTCACTCTTACTGAAGTTGCATTATTGCTCCAGGTGATTACCCATGGAGGAGGAAAAATTACGAGCGCAGCAGCGCGAGTCGCAGCGACGAGTGACTGCGATTCGCTCAATTGCAATTGCGACATTGGCTGTCACTACTTGTATGGTGTCTATGCCAATCGTGTTCACCCGTCTACAGGAGATCGACAGTCATGTTCGCAGCGAACTCGAGGAGTGCATGGTAAAGTCCAATTGTTTTTGGATAGGATCCTTCGAAATAGCAGCAACTTCGAGTTTGCATGGTGTCAGAAGGATTCTTCTGGAGAATGATTCATGTTTCTGTTAGTCAGCAATGTGCTGAAATAACACAGTTGAGTTGCTCGGTTGATGGGTAACAAAACCGGTCCAAGCCTGGGCGCCATTACTTTCGAGAAAATAGTGCAGTTTCCGTCGAATAAGGCCAAGCGAGTTCATAGCGGGAAGGAACGTTGAAAATACTAAATGTGCTGTATAATTTTCGTGTTAGCTAGATGGCTTTTCATCCCCGCACCAAATCCCAAACATTATGTTTTGCGTTTTGACTCCATGTTTCTCGTCCATCTTCGTACTAGTCACTTCTGACAAAACCGCCCACTTTCAAACCACCAAACGAGTAAATGAAGTTTTTTTTTCTCCTAAAGTTACTATTATGGAAATCTATCGTAGCCATTTCCAGATTTCTTCGCGTAACCTACTGCGTCAAGTAATAAGCGTTCATCCAAATCCCCCACATCTTTTGGCAGCTGACGCTGTGTTGAGAAACAAAAGGCAGGCCTCCGGTAAGCACCCGCTTCTTTTATCGCCGTTTGGCAGCCATGGTTTCTGCTACAGGTTGTTGCACGTGCCATCGAGGAGCACCAGGTCCTCCCGGTCCTCCAGGAGCTGACGGAGTGGATGGCATCGATGGTGTTAATGGTGAGATTGGTGATCCGGGACGTATGGCTGAGGAACCTATGGAGTAAGTTCGTAGTTATTGCTAATTTTAATTTCTCAGATTTACTAGCATCATCGAGTTATCTGCAGCTACCGTAAGTCAAAGATTGTTCAATGCCCTTGTGAAGCACCAGGAGGTCCACCTGGTCCACCAGGTCCACGTGGTCCACCCTCCATTCCAGGAGAACCCGGTAGGTTTTAATTTTTGTTGAAATGCACTCGCTCAATCATCAAATCACATTTCAGGAGCACCCGGCGCACCAGGAAGCAATGGCCCACCCGGGCCACCTGGCGTACCAGGCAGGCCAGGCGCACCCGGTCCACGAGGTGAACCGGGTGAAAAAGGAAGAGATGGAGTTATTCGTCCTGGAGCTGGAGGTCCTCCAGGTCCAGCCGGTCCGCCCGGTGACAGAGGAGCAGACGGGCCTCCTGGAGGTCCAGGATCAGGTTCACTGCCAGGTACTTTAATTCACTGTCGCTGATACATGTTTTATGACCTGCCATTGCCCTCATATAATCATTTGAAGGACCACCCGGACAACCAGGAGAACCAGGATCACCTGGTAGACCTGGTCCACCAGGAAATCCAGGAATGGACGGAAGCCCAGGAAATCGTGGAGCTGATGGTAAGCGCGGATCGTGCGATCACTGCCCTCCTCCGAGAACCGCACCCGGATATTACAACTGAAGTGTGTACATATTTACTAATAAAGATGGCACTTCTGCGGCTTCAAAAAAGACTAGCAAGTAATGCATTGCTCTAAGGTGAATTTACTGGAAAGACTATAGGGCGAGTCAAGCGCACACTTACGCGCTGTTCGGGTAGTAAACAAACAACCGCTCTTGTTTACGCGAAATGCTCAATTATCGTAATTGGTCGCAATGCAGCCGCATGCTCATCATTCAAGTAATGCGTACGTGTATTTCGACGCATACTGTAGAACCTACAGTTTCAGAGATCACTCCAACTTGAATCTCTATGGTAAATGTCAGTGCTGTAATAATCTATCCTCTTTTGTGAGAATGTTTGTTCCACTTATACGACCGGGCAACTCCTATAAACAGGTTAGTCGTCTTTACGAGTAACGGGGAAGCTCTATGTTCCACTCACGAAGTACAGCCTAGGTCAGCAGCATATGCAAACGGTATACATGGGGATTATATGTATTAGGTCGTGAAGAAAGTTCTTGCGGTTTTGCGCCTCAAACTTCAAATGCATATATCTCGGCTTGAACGAAACTTCATCAATCGAAATAACAACCATTACTATCGACACACTTTTGTTAACGAAAAACAAGTTCGAGTATCCCATTCGCATAGAAGTCCGGAAATCTAGAGGCGATGAAATCGTCGAATGCCGCGGCAGCATCATGTTGGGTTTTGAAGCATTTCTCCTTGAGGAAGCGTCGAGATGTTTAAAGAAATGGTAGTCTATGGGAGCAAGGTCTGGGGAATATGGTGGATGTGGGAGAGCTTCATAGCCTAGCTCCATCAATTTTCTCAGGGTAGGTTGTGCGACGTGAGGCCGAGCGTTGTCGTGGAGTAGAATTGGCCCCCTCCTATTCACCAGTGCCGGGCTCATGAGCTGGACTTTTCGATGCATTTCGTCAATTTCTTGGCAGAACTTTTCGGCTGTTGCGGTTTCTCCCGGATCCATGAAGCTGTGGTGGATCAGCGCGACTGCAGACCACCAAACAGCACCATGACCTTCTTTCCATGCTGCTTCGGCTTGGGAAAATGTCGTGGGGCTTGATCCTTGTAGAGCCACTGGCCTGATCGTCGCCGGTTGTCGTACAGAATCCTGTTCTCATCACACGTCGCAATACGGTCTAAAAATGGATTGTTCCTGTTGCGCAGAAGCAAGGCGGAGGCGAGCTCGTAGCGGCGGTCTTTCTGGTGCTGAGTCAACTCATGCGGCACCCACTTATCAAGCTTCTTCTACTTCCCGATCTCCTGCATGTAGATGCCAACCGTCCTGCTGGAAACATTCAATCTTGAGGCAATATCCTTCAGCGTTGTACGTGGATTCCCTTCCACTAACGCTCTCAATTGTTCGTTGCCAACGGCCGATGGCCGCCCACGGCGCTCATCATCTTCCAGGCTCTCATCACCGGTACGAAATTTTTCAAACCACCACTGTGCTGTGCGTTGATTCATCGTACCTAGATCTAAGTCATCGTTGATATCCCGGTCCGTTTCCGTCGCACTCCTGCCCAATTTGGATTGGAAAAGAAAAATCATGCGGATCTGTCGTTTGTCCATGCTGATTTCGACCTTCTAAAAAACCCCAGGAATCACTCCAGGGCAAAACCGATTATATATTTGGATAGGGCAAGAAATGCGCTTCAGAACGGTATAAAACTTGCAAAAATCTAGTAGCAAATAACATCGCGGCGAGCATTTGAAAATTGGGCGTCAAAAACCGCAAGGACTTTCTTCACGACCTAATAGTTAACGAAGTCTCAATACAACAATAAATAAATTTATTTTGACAACTAAACGGGTAATTTTAAATAAGTAACGGGGCATACGATGGATTCTTTCATCATTGCCAAATGGCGTAGCCCAATCTCACTTATCCAGTACTAAAATCATTGGTCACAACGTCCTCTTCATGGATAGAACATCTTTATTTTCACATAATTTAAGATGATTGATTCTAAACAGATCTACTTAGAGCTCTGAAAATAATGCACAATAGATGCAATTGACAGATATTTTTACATATTAAAATCTCCGGAAATTTCACGATGTTCTTTAATCCTGCTTCAACTTTGGCGCGTTAACGAATTCCTCTCCATTTATGAATATGAACATCATGCATATCAAAAAGACAGCCAACCAAAACAGAGTGGCGGAAATATTTTCTGAAATTCAATAGTTTGATAAAAAACTAATAAAATCTGTAAATTTGAAAGCCAAGTAAGTCCAAAGATTACCTGCAACCAGCACACATAGTATTGTCATGGCCATAGCAAAACAGGCGGCTAAGAGGGCTATTCCATTCTGATCCAATGATATCAAGGTAGCTTCTAAGCTAGATGGCAGATTATGAACATCGATTACAAAGTTGCCCAGAAAAACATCCATGGCATCCTTAAAATAGTCAAATGTTAGTAGTGATAAAAACAGCGACAGATAGCGAGTTTATTTTTACCTGTCGGTACCCATCAGCAAAATTATTGCGAAAATATCGTGTAATCGCATTAATACCGTCGTTTATTGCACCAGTATAAGTCCGCTTTCCTAATCGAGTGAAGTCCGCCTGAAAATCGTTTGCATAGGGACCATTTCGTGAATTCTTTGATTAAGGGAGAATCACTGTCCATCCAAAAATTACTTACTTTGAGAGCACCTGTTCCAGCGTATTGCCGACTACACTCATCACCATTATCTGCCCATACTAAACCGGTAACAATAAAAGAATACTTAATAATTCAACAATTTGAGAAAGCCGGGTGTTAAACTCACGGTGTTTGAAAGAGGTTTCTAGTTCTTCACACGTCTCCACTCTTTGCCCACCGATGAGAATACCTAGGTATGTGAGCTGATCGGTTAGCGACTCTCGAGCGATCATCGACTGCACTACATTGGTCCTAAAACAGGGATCCTATCAGAGTTAGTACTGCAGTGATTGCCGCTCCTCGTTAATAAATAGCCAAAATAATTTTATTAAAAGAAAAAATACATAGAAGTGCTAAATAATAAAGCAATAGATAAATCTCTGCAATGGTTAGTACTGATGACATTAACATATTTTTTATTTATTTATTTATTATATTAATAAATAACATATAGGTAAAACACGCATTTTAGGATAATAGTAATATTTAGCGCAAATAACAAGCTGACAGCTACATACCTGTCGAGACAATCCATACAATTCGTTCGGAAGAATCCAGTTTGAGACCTCTGGACAAGATCAGTATCAGTCAGTTCTGTAGAAGCCGCGAAGAATCTGGATTAGGAAAGCTGGTATAACAGTAAGTTACTTTGTTTATCTAAAAGGTACTCGTACAATGAAACTGTGTTACCGAGTCCAGGGAATAAGCTAAAAGGAGTTCAAAATGACCGTTATATGGTTGCAATAGCGTGGAAAATTAGCACACGGACACATCGCAATTAGTGGCCCTTACTGCTCCTCTACGTAATTGCAACGGCATCTCATTTTTCCTTCTGCTTATTTTGTATGCATCAAACGTTTAAATGTGAAAATGAGCCTATTTGCTCATGGCATATTTAAGCAATTAATAGTAATTGAAACCCACCCAAATTGAGTTATTTCGTGTCGCAGTTGATCTCTCAATAGCGACAATCGATGCCATTGCATTGCTTGGCACTCTTTGTGGAAGTCGAAAGGATTATACCTGTTATAGTTATAATTTTTCTGTATAAAATGCATTACATATGAAATAGCAAAATAAAAAGTAGCAAACGTTACAACAACAAATTCAAAGGAGGAAGTGAAGCAGTGTAAGCTGACCTACCTAACATAACTGAGATTGGCTTGCTGTATGATCCTTTCAAGTTCGGCACCTATCTTCTTCTCCCGTCCTGTTTGATTAACTAGGTTTACAATGACCTGAATAAGCAATCTGATTATTTTTTAGCACGATGAGCATTTATAATAAAACTTTGCCAATTTAAGCCGGTAGATTACTCCCTACATGAATGGAATAACTTACATGTTGGCCACCATACGTCTTCTTCTGATTCTCAAAATGCTTTATGTATGCTGAAAGTTGATCGTCGTTGGGTTTCACGGTAGGCATTGGCTGCCACTTCAAATTAGGGCGTTGGGACCACAATAATGGGATTGAGCCTCTTGTCTGAATATTGAGGATATAATGCCAAAAAATTGTTCGATGAAGGATTCAGTTTACCTGCAGAAAAGAGGTCAACCTCCTAGCTTGGCCCGATAATGTTTCAACAATTTGTTCGGTCTCAACAAAATTAGCGGGATGTCCATCACTGCTTACCCCTCTTTTATAGAAGCGTACTCCAGCCCTAGAATGGTGACGAATGGGTATCGAAATATGGAGTATAACTAAAAAAATGGTGGAAGCATAGGTGTAGGAAACTTTCAGCTTCACAGCTAAGTCTTAGCAATCAAGCTTAACCTGTATCTGCTCCGTCTTGAAATCAATGTTATTTTAAACTGATTTCCATTAACGCAATGATAATCTTCTCCATAAAATCCATGAATAATGGGTAAAGCAAATCGTGCAATCTAAATTTTAAAACAGTGTCTGAAATATTTATAAAACTCAGAGAAATATTGAATGTATGCTCACGCCTTGCACTGGACGTAACTGCGATAGGAGGTAGTTATTCCAAGTAAATCGAGCGTCCGCCTAAACCAAAACGAAAAATAAAAAAATGAGCAATTTTGCGAATGATTTGCATATGCGCTTCACAAAAAAGCATAGAGGTCTTACCCGATCAATCATAGGCATTTGTTTAAACGATGGTGTTCCATTCTCGCTCAACCATTGAAGTGATCGCGAAAGATCAACGGAATAGGAGAAGTAGAAGCCGGTCATAGCCAACACACTTTGTAACATTTCCGTAAAATGACGATTATACCATATCTGCAGCTTTCCAATATCATTTTTGAATAAACGTTCTCATGAGGAAAAAGAAAACAGGATCGTATTACCTGTTTCTCAGTCAAATGTAGTGTTGTTTTCTTGTATGGGATAATATCCGTTTCTGTGATTGTCCAAATAGAATGTCCATTCAATTTACCAACCAAACGTGCTTTTTTAATCACTATCAAAGCCATACCTGAGAGTTCAATGAAATTTATTGCCATCTCACGCAAGGGACTTTTGAGAAGTGTTTAATTGATGGAACGCCTCAAACCGACCGGAAACAATGGGGATTATGCCGAGTAAGCCATAAATATATTGTATATCCGCATCATGGAGAGGAATTCGTGAAGTGGATACGTCTAGAAATTTTAGTAATCGTTAAAGATTTAGGATAAAATCTTGATTTTGGTACTGTAATAAACGGAGATGAGTATAAGGTGCAAATAAGGTTTACTGAACCGATAAAGTAAGCGACGAAATACCTGATACTCGTATGTGATTGGTGTGTCGATCGATCTCGACGTACTGCGTTGATAGGCGGTTTCCATCTCGATCTCGTGGCTCAATATAGAACTTTTCCGCTAATATATACCTAAACGTTCATAACTTTAGTGTTCATAAAAAAATCAATCCAAAGCTAACACGGTTGCTTCTAAATAAGATTAGCTTTCATGTACCCGGCAGAAATACTCACAAATTAAAACCTTCATATATGTCCGTGGACATTTGATGGAACTTCCTCACCGGAAAGAACGATAATACTCTGGTCTAATAACAAATTAAATATGGCACCTGAAAGGAGATTAATTGGCGGCAATAATCTTGAATCGCTCGCTCGCCAGAGTCTTGAACAGATGACAAAAAGACGATGGGCACTTTGGGGCAACGGATATATGGACTGAAGTGAAGAGGAACTCATTGTGAGTTCAAATGCCTCTTTTTGCTTCATGTGCACATATGATCAGCTCCATGATGAAAGGATTTGGGCAAGCATGAGGAATTGGATAGAGGGGTGAAAACTGNCGATAATACTCTGGTCTAATAACAAATTAAATATGGCACCTGAAAGGAGAAAGGATTGCCGGCAACAATCTTGAATCGCTCGCTCGTCAGAGTCTTGAACAGATGACAAAAAGACGATGGGCACTTTGGGGCAACGGATATATGGACTGAAGTGAAGAGGAACTCATTGTGAGTTCAAGTGTCTCTTTTTGCTTCATGTGCACATATGATCAGCTCCATGATGAATGGATTTGGGCAAGCATGAGGAATTGGATAGAGGGGTGAAAACTGTTTAGGATCCGTAATTGGAAGCATTCTGTCATGAAAGGCTATTAAAACATCATAGAATCAGCAAAATAGTTTTGAGAGACAGATGGAGGGCTTCAGGGCACTGTGGAAGAGAAACATAACTAAGTGAAACCTGAAAAACGTTGCGATACGTGGAATTGATATGAGATCGCTGGTAGCCAAAAGGCGATAAGCACACGTGTGGAACAACTTGAAAAAAAGAATAGCAAATAAAAATTGAAGTAAGCCAATAACAATATGTACGAACTGAATGAATGTTGGGTAAAATCGTCTCCAGGAACGAATGGAAACTAAAGAGCGGTAGCTACAAAGGAATAATAGTTGAGAATATAAAAAGATTACAATGGAAGAAAGCCTACAGAGAGTCGGGTGAAGATCAAAACGAAAAATATGTCTTGAAATTCACTCAGAGCTCTTCCTTTAGATTTCAGGATGAGAGAGTGAAGTTTCAAGAGACGCCTGCGAACGAGGCAGATGTTCCACGTGGCCTCTCATGGACCACTGGAATTGCGTTTTTTACAGCTTCCACCTGTCTCGGAGGCCGTATGAGACCACATTTAAGGGCTATAATCGACAAAAATATTCTAAAGACTGTTTTTAAGCGGTAGGTTCCCGCATGGGATACAATCTAAAAAAGTGGCGAACTGTACGCGAATTTTACCACGCAAATCAGCGACATCATGAGAATTTCGCTTCTCTAAACAATCGCTACTTGAGTCTTTTGATGGAGGCGACTCGTGGGGACAAAACGATCTCGAACTAAGGATAATATTGTACTCCTAAAGGGAAAGAACTGTCTAGAACGTAATATTATTGGTAATTCTTTCTATCCAGCTAATCTCATCGACTTGGTCGATCGATACAGGGCTTCGGTAAATTCTTCAGATTACTAGAGTTTATTATCGCAGCTGAAGCTGCTAAAAATGAATATCGATCAATTGTTTTGTGGGCTGGAGAAGCTGGAACACTCGTGGGGGCTGATAACATCATGTTTAAGTAGGCCTCACTTACCCAGATAGGGAAATATTTTTGAAAAAACTGATATTGACAGATATTTCTCAGCCGATGCGAACCATGTACTGTTTTCAACGTATTGCCCAAATATTTGAAAACTAAAACACGTAAAGCTCGGGGGAACTTGGGTCATTGTTGGTTTTAGTTGGTGGAATTGTGTAAAACGGATTGATAATCCTATCTCTCCCATCCTCCTCGAACATACCCTTCTGTATAGGTATGATCTGCTTAGGAAAAACTGAAATCGTGTTAGCTTCAAGAGAGTCCAACGAAAAGTGTTATTGAATAAAGTCAATATACACGCCAAACAAAACAAGACGGCATGTGGTTGAATCATGCTACTTTATCAGTTCCACCTGTTATTGGACGTGATGAGGGAGCAAAAAAGGGAAGTTATTGATGTATATAGTGCAATTTAGTTTAAAAAAGGGAAGACATTCGGCTGTTTAAGAACTATCAAGAAAACCCGCGAAAGTATACGTTCAGAAAGATTGCGGAGAACAGCCACTGCATGATGCGATCATAAAATTTGTTTGAGAGAGGATTCCAATCCTTTTAATTTACAGCACTGTAACAGTGCATGGCACAACCCATGAATACAACCAAAAACGAGTCACATGATGACTTGACCAGAGGTTCTTTTAGTGGGTATTTTAGATTGGACTTGTTCTACATGCTGATGGAACATGAATTCACAAAAGTGAAAGGAAAAGTGACCGACAGGGCGAGTTCAGAAATAGCCGTCGATGCGACCCGAAAAACGTGCAGCAGCGCGGCCGCATCGCCGCCCGTCCACCGCCGTTTCGCCCTTATTGCTCGGGGCGGCGGCGACGGTGGATCGTCGCCCACCGGATCCGGTTTCGCCTGCCCAATACCTTACGACCACAGCACAGTCTAGGCAAAGGTTCATTTCAGCAGACTGTTTTCTGAACTTTCACGTTTCATAATTCTGATATGTTACGTGATGGAGTGGTTTCTTTTTCGATCTATTTTGAAAAAAAATCATTCATATGGAATTTTTGAAATTAAAGATTAGGATGTTTAATCAGCACAAGGAAAACGTGGTTATTGATCTCCGTTCTTCTAATTTCGTCTTATTTTCGTACCTGCTACGGTGAAGTTTGCACGATAGTAGTCCTTGATACATCGGCTGCATACAGAGTTTGCAGTGCGTAATGTGAGTTTTGACTTTTTGTGGAGTTACTTGATTTGATTTATGTCCTGGATAACTAACCCTGACTCATTCGCCAAGTTATACAGCTCTCCTAATTTCCCTGAAAAGTTTTAATCTTTCCACCGTTTTAGTTTTTTCGAAGACGATTGTCTTTTATACTAAACAAGCAGCCGTCACGTGGGCGTATTTGGGTACCGCTTTAGCTCTTTAACGCAGAATTTTGATGTTAAAAACTTTATCTTCAATTTTGTGCTATGCTGGAACGAGTATCCTGAAAACGTCTGGTAAACTCAAGTAGGAGTATGAGCACTAATCATTGTAAAAAGGAGGTATGCAAGGGTGGTGGCTATGGACGAGGGGGCTACAGGCTGTACAGTTCAACTGTTTTCATTTTCTTGGTATTCTAGCGCACATATGGCCTGAACCAAGGTAAAGCACTACTTAGAAATGAAGTAGGATTGTTTGCTTAAGCACGGCTGTCTGATTTCTCTGAGAAATTCGACTCTCCCTTCTCGTCCCTAATCAGCTTTCGAAAAATGTTAATGAAAGTACTAAAGTGCGTAGAATCTATTACTTTTTTCTAAAACCCATAGTTGTTGAATGTATTCGATGCTTCACCCAAGAGTAGTGTTTAGGCCAGCCGTTTTGTAAGCAAAATTAAGTATATTTGTGCTGGCATCCGTTATCACTGAAGAAATACGATAAGATTGTTTTGTCCCTGAACGTTCTCTTCTTTCTTTATTACGCAGGTCAATATGTTTATAGAACATCATTTTCTATTGATCAAGTTGGACGTATAATGTCATGATTTGCCACTAAGTGATTCGTAAATATAATAAAAACACTTGAGTCTATATTCGCGCTCCCTTGACAAAAGCCATTTTTTCTATGTGCTGGTTCTGTAAAGAAATGTTTTCTGCTTTGAACACTAAAATTAGACTCATTTCTTCTGACACTCGTTTTTATTCAAATATTCCCCTGCAGTTTTTCCGTTTTCAGGTTTAGGGTATGGCCGAGACGAAGGATATCCCTCCTGGTTCTTACTCACTAGAACTCGGAAAAACATTCACTGAGCAACGGCGGAACGATGGACCTTCTTACCACACTTTGCGATGTAAGAAATGGCTTCAAATAAAAAGGAGGCAACGAGTCGAATGATATAATCTTTTTTAAAGCTGATATAGTTTCTTATAGACGACTTCAAACCAATGTCGGTGGCATCGTCAGATTCTGATACGTACATTGCATTTGGAGCGAACGGGGATGTTCATGTAAGTGGTTTTGTTGAGTAGCATCTAGCTCTTGTGTTTTCAGCAGCTTATCGTAATGGTTTTTACAAGTATTGATTTGTCCCCTGTTTTATCACTTTGGACAGAAGGCTAAAGAAATTTTTAAGCTGAAATTGTTCTTTATATCAACTGAATGTTGTCTATAGGTCGCCGTACCCACTGACGGCGAGAATATGACTGTGTTCAAAGGATCCAAGAAGGAAGCAAAAGCTAAGGAGTGCTTGTTGTTTTTTGACAAGAAGTCTGGGAAACTTCGGCTCGAAAAGATAGCATCGAATATCAATGTGAAGAAAACCAGGTTTGTGTGTTTGTCCACCGTTCCATAGCTTCCTCTCAGACATTCAATTCCAAGCACTTTTTACTGATTCTTCCATAACTATTTTCAGTCTTTTTGCAGAGATTTGGACCCATCGACAGAGAATGTTCTACGTTCTGAAATGGCCCGTTTACGAACCAATCGAATCGAGCGTCCGCCTCCTCCTGAGCCAAGGTTATACTAACAGATTGTTTGTTGGCATATACACATTTTTCTTCTTTCATTTTCGGAAGTACCAGTTCCCGTTGATGAATGTTTAAAAAACTTTTTCAGTAGTTCCTCATTTCCTGGAGCTGACAGCAGTAGCTCTTCGGATTCTTCAAGTGATGACAGTGATAGCGATAGTGGCAGTGGGTCCGATGATGAGGTTTGTCCAAGGTTTTGTTTATTGTTGCATTGAAGTTAAATTTTCTCCCGAATAGTCATAGTCCATTTTGATTGGTCACGAATAGTTCGTCCTTATCATTTGAAACGTTGAAACTAAAGGATTCCGAGGAAGTAAGTGGTAAATGATTCATGGGATTCCGGAGAAGTAGGTGGTAAACGATTCATAGCAGCCAATCAAAATTAAAATTTTTGAGTGCCTCAATGAACTGGAGGCCTGTCTCTGATGTTGAAAGGTTTTGATTCGCTTCAACAGTTTTTTCCCGCGGTAGGCACCACTACGGTAGTTTACATTGTTGACATTCATCAAGATCAAGCTCAACGTCAAGTCACTTAACATCGGAAACATTCTGTCATGTGTCCGATGTTAGGTGACTTGATGTTCAGCTTTTGAAGATTCGCGGAACTTCTGCATTCGAATGGTGTTAGAACCGCTCAAATGGGGTTATACATGTTAGGAAGAATCTTCCTCACTGACTTGCCCGTCCAAACCATAAGTATTTTTGGGTAAGGTTATAGGACTCTACACACCACCATGTACTGTGTTCGTTTATGTGAAAACGATTAGACTGATCACTGAAGCTATTGAGTTACTTTTGGACAAAAAGGTGCCTAACTCGAAAGGCGTTGATGTCATATGAGAACATCTGAATTAAAACTGTGCAGACTTTTTCCATACCTCACAATTTGACCCTTATTGCTTGTTTCAGGATCAGGGCAAGACTCGGCGTGATTCAAACTCGAGCATGGCAGATAGTGATGTAGAGAGTACGTTTTTTCTCTTCACAAGATACCCTTCTGTGATTCAATGTCCCTTTTGAGACTTTGGAAGGGAATGTTAGGCGCATCGTATGTCCGTGTGTGACAGATTCACATGATTACTAAAATATGATATTTTGGTAAATTACTGCTCGAGATGTTTCGGCTTTCCAGCTAATCATATTAATTCCAGGCCACCTTCTTGAAAGTATGAAGACGACAACTGCTCCTTCTACATTCTCCGCAGACAGCATTGACATGCCATCGCTTGATTCCATCTCTCAACCACCACCAGTTCAGACTTCTTCCCAGAATAATTTCAGTTCAAGGTGGCAGTTTTTTCTTTTTTCATAAAGTTTTTCAAAGTTCAAGTGAGTGAAGTGATTTCAAATCTTTCTTTCAACTTTTCCGAACTATCGGTATAATTTCAAGTCATTACATGACCATTTTACGCAATTTTCAAATTCATGATAGTTTTTAGTTTCTTGAAGGCATTAAACAAGCTAAAACTATGTTCCTCATAACACGCGATTCAGGACAAGATTCTGCGCCATTAGGGCCATCAATCTTCCCGTCTGCTTCACTTTTTATTGTATATCAACTGATGAAACTTTTGCATTGATTGCTTCAAATTTTGTGCTACGTAGCAAAGCGCACATTTTGTGCCTAGAAATCGTGCAGTACTAAGCTTCCTTTTCCACAAACAGCTGTTTTCAGTTACCTGTGAATGATCTGCGGGCATTTCAGGCAATCCGCAAAAACGGATCACCGAGATCTTGGTCTGAACTTGAGTGAAAGTTCCGACGATGACGAATGAAGCAAGGCTCGTCCATAGCTCATCATGAACTGTGTTTTAGTATTGACTGTATTTATTTGATGCTTCAAATTGTGATTCTTGGGAAGGGTGTTAGATATATTTAAATGAACGAATAGGCATCTTGTAATGCCTATTATCAGGAATCTCTTCAGATAACTTTTTTTCATACACGTCATGGCATTGTTTTCCTACGACTGATCTAGTTGATTAGCATATTTATGCGATTATGCCTTCTTTAATTTAGGGTTACGGTAAATGTTTGTTTTATCATACATATTGCTTAACTATGTGCAAAGGGTTTTGTGATAAAGTGTGAACATTTATTTTGTTCGCATTTTAATTACTTTAGTGTTTGTATCCATTACTACCACACTAAACTCTTCCTAGAATACTTAGGAGATCATCGGTGATCAGTTGACATTTGCGTTTATTATCTTTTTACTTATTTATTTACTCAATATGCCGACGCTTGGGCTATTCGAGCGATTTGTTTTGTACTGTTACGTACCGTTAGAGAAGTCAGCGCTCTGCCACCGCGCGTTCAAATTTCATATTTGTCGGCATTGGAATCAGGGACTAGCAGTGGGGTGAGGAATTTTCTCTACAAAGAAATACAATCCAGTTTTTGCCTTCAAATTGCAGCCATCCTTCTATCCTACTGGTCGATTTTTACTTCAGTGGAGGCGGTGAATTGCAATAATGTGAATTTTGTTCATTGAGAACGACTCTCTTTGTAAGAAAATCCAAATATATATTATTTGGCACCTCGATTGTCGTTTTCCAAAAACCCGCTTGACTCTGGTCCGAGCGTCTTTCAGAAAGCGGGCTGTCGCCACTCGATAGTCGGAATCGGTTGTTCGAAACCGATATAGTTTATGCATGTTTCCTGGTTTTTTGATCATTATTTATATATTTGCATTTATTCGTAACCTTTTTTTTGCTTCTGTTCGTCATCAATTGTATAATATTCAGGCAAATCAAGGTCTACTTTAATACAGGTCCAGCATGAGTTCTCCTTCGGTAAAAGTTGTTCAAATGGATAGATTACTTTTACCTGTCACGATTAACTTCATCCGATCTAAGGTTGTTGAAGGCGAAAGCTTCCAAATCGGGAATAAGAAGTTTAGGAAGGTGAGTTCTTCAGGTCAGTCAGCCGCCTGTTTTTTTTAAAGGCCGGTGCGACTCTTAGGTTAGTGCTGTTGATTTTGAGGTGAATTGGTCTTTGAAAGTATAGGAACTGCTCAAACCTTGTTCTTCATGGAGACCATGTGAATCAGCCTGTACAGGCTTCGTCTTGATCGTATTTTTATTCCCGTTGTGGATTTACGGGCTGCTTTCATACGTGCCGGCACGCAGGTATAAACGCAGGTGGTACAATCTTGCGTGCGGCATGCGAGCGGCCATGCGACGGCGGCGCTAGAGATGTGTTGACAACATTGGACGCCGATGAATCGCGTGGCACTGCTGTCACACACATAGATAGCGCCGTCGCATAACCGCTCCCACGCCGTACGCAAGATTGTACCTGCGTTACCACCTGCGTGCCGGCACGCACGTCGAAGTAGAAAGCAGCCACTGGCCGCAGATGCGAGTAACTGTCCACATTTACGACCACCTCATCGACCTTGTTGTGTGTGACTCGAAACCTTTGGAGCCAGCGAGTTGGAAAGTGGTTACACTCGTACACTCAAAACTCACTTTTGGTAGCGGCGAACCTACCTGACTCCAATAAGTGGGTGGTAGCTCATTGTCAGACACAGTTCCGCAAGTATAGTCTATGAATTCATAACGATGAATGATGTTGGTAATGAGACCCACTACTTCTTCAATTACTAGTTTAGTTTTTTTATTACTCTAATTTTTGCCGCGGCGCGTATAACCATCACCCTGTTAAGGTCCTTTGTGTTGGTCGTGTAGAATCCTGTCGTTGTGTTCGAAGTATTGGTGCACTTGAATATGTCATCAGCGATCCGGCAGCAGATAAAAGCACTGCAGACAAAATCTCCGTTCTCCACGTAGATGAAGTGAGGCGTTATTCCTTTTTTTGGATGGTTTTCACGTTTATGATTGAGTTTTAGTCCTACGACGTATCAAGACCAGTTGAAAAGTTTCCGCGTGGGACGCTTGTTCTTGTTCCTGGAAAACTCGTCCGTTTCAAGGGTGCCGTGGCTATTCAGGCATATTCAATCCGAGAGGTAAATTTCATGCAATTCACATCAGGCGTAAAACAATAATAGCCTCATTTCGATTTCTTGTTTTCAAACGTAATAATTATTAGAAGAATTCATGGCACATTTAGTCAGCTACCTGGTCACCGGTATTTCTTCGTTAACTTTCCCCTATTAGGTTCTTTGTCAAGAGGAGTACGAATGCTTGCAAATGGAGGCGTTCCTTGCGTTGCAGTACCACACCAAAGTAAGTATATCTGACTGACCAACTTAGAAATGTTCGAGGAATTGTGTTTCAGAATCCGTCTGGTCAGACCCCAGGACGACGCTCGTCAACGAGTTCAAATCTTCGTCGATCTTCATCATCAGTTACACCGTCGTCGTCGGTCGTCGGAAGGCACGTAGTATCCCCAGTGGTTGTCACCATCTCCACCCCGAAAAGACCGATTTCTTCAGTTCGCTCATCGTCTTCGAGTAATATTGCTTTAAGAAAAAGTAGTGGGGATTCTATGCGATCTGATGATAAGAGAAAAGATTTGGGCAATGAAAGCAGCAACTTGCGTGAATCTGAAAGTCAGGATTCTTTCGAAGATAGTGTTTTTCTGAAAACTGATGATAACTAAGATCTTTTATTCTTTTTCTCATTGTTTCTATGGGTATGTACATACATTCAAAACTACATTACATTTCCTTTGACTTTTGTGAACGTTCATAAACTTAATACAATTACATTCAATAAACGTTTGGTGTACCATCTCGACTTCCACGTGTGTCACAAGGTTTTTCCGTACCTGANTGGGTAATAAAAGCAACAACTTGCGTGAATCTGAAAGTCAGGATTCTTTCGAAGATAGTGTCTTTCTGAAAACTGGTGATAACTAAGATCTTTTATTTACTTTTTCATTTCGATGGGTATGTACATACATCTGAAGCTACAAAACACTATCTTTGACTGTTGTAAACGTTCATAAACCTAATACATCAATAAACTTTTGAAGTATCATCTAGACTTTGATGTGTGTCACAAGGTTTCTGCGTACCTGGCAGTACTTCGAATTGAATTACAGCTGGTAATTTCGTTTCGTTGGCAATTTTCTTCGACAGTGATGCTGCAAATCCAGGAGCAGTCCATGGTGCAGGTTCCGTTTGAGCCACAAATACAAACGGTAGATTCATAACTACCACGATAACAGCTATTTCGAGGAACAACCGAGACCACTGAAGAAGCAAGAATTGGAGTGATGCAGGTATGGGATTGAATGCGACATCGTATTCAACAAATTTCTATGTGGTATTCCAGACTCTCAAATTGACTATAGTTTTGTTTATGCTGTCTGGATCGCTTTTTATTTGTAGTCAAGGGTCCGGTCATATCCAGGATGTGTGGCGGCTAAGTTGACCTCCGTGAAGCAGTGAGTTTTTGCATTCTTTCTAAAACGGACTCGGTGAAACAATCAGAAGTATATTCGCTCGATGCATGAATCGAAGAGGGTCGAATTCTGGCCAAAGACTATCTGAAACACCTCAATACCACTACATAGCCGCTCGCTTGATGCCTCTATAGTGTAAATGCCTCTTTATTTTTTGGAAGAGTAAAGTTTTCAGCATTGATCCCAGTTTTTTGGGATGCTACCACCCCGAGTTTGACATCCATTCAGCATCGTTGTGACATATTTGGATGCGTATGTAGCTTATACTATGACCTGCGGTGGCCAGCCGATGTACAAATCAGTGTTTTCACCCTCTTAGACGAGCCTGGCCCCATTTACTCGACCCCACTTACTCGGTGGCCGATGTAAGTGTAAATGAGGTTTACAAAAGCCGTTGAGTTGAACTTGGGTTCAGCTCAACCCAATGAAGACTTTCCAAAGGAGGGAATCATCTGTGTGCCTATATTTGATAGAACTGTTGTCAGACCTGTGTATGAGTGTTATCCGGGCAGACGAGTGTGACGAATACGGGAAGTAGGAGTGTAATTATACAACCGATACTCGACAGCACTGCCATAACGAAGTGTGCATGTTGGCGAGCCCTCTGAAACATGGAACCATGGTTTTGTCATCGCTGCCAACTTATATACTGTATAATTAATTTGATTCTCATAGAGAGTTATTGTTATTCGCTAACTCCTTTCTGGAGGCTTTTTCGGATTTTGTTTTTCTGTGGGGATGCATATTGAATGTTCTCACCTTGTTTTTGGCTGTTCATTGGTCTGCTCTTGTGCATTACGCCTCTATGTATTTCGTCTGACTTAGGAGTAGTGAAAAAAGAAGTGACAGAATGAGTAGCGAAGAGCTTGCGAAGGGAAATTTTTGGTCAGTGAACGTTTTCTTAAAGATTTTTGTATTGGTGATCAAAAACCCTTATGTTTTGAATGTTCAATTCACTAGTATTCGCTTTCTTTCTCCTGCTTCATTCAACCTTTTGGACGTTTCTGCGATGTTGAGCAGTAATTCAACCTTCAAGGGAGTACATTGAGAACCAGCCATAAAAGGTGAAGGTGTAAGGGCAGTATGAATGTTAGTCCTCTTACTAGTAGCCATTGAAATGTTAAACGGGAGTTTTGCAGGTTTTACTGCCTAGTCGTGGACCTCATCAGTGAATAAAACTAGTTCCTCATGCAATACTAAAGATGTCAGAGATATGACTTTTGATGAAAACGAAGTAGTGTACGCACGACCGTTTCACTTCCTTGAAATCTTCATTGTTTTGGTTTGCGTTTTGTTTATTGGCATTTGTTTATTACTGCCACACTTCACAGAACTTGGGCATCTGCAATGGTACTCACCAGCTGAGCGCACTTGGCAGCTCCTACTATATTAAGTCCACTGAACACAATTGCACTAGTATAGAGAGCTTGAGCCAAGTGGGGAGAATCCGTCTGAATAGGCAGCATTAGAAATACAGTCAGTGTCCTCAAGTTCCCTTTGTAGGTTGCGTTCAGTTTTAATGCTTCATGGTCAAGTATTATACTATTACGCTCCTCGATTTTAAGAGAGCTGCGACGCAACCGCTTGCTTTCCTGTTTGATGCTTAGGCCACGATTGTTTGCTAATGTCTGTGCTTTACTGAAGAAAAAGATGAAATTATACAAAACTTACGAATGCCAATGCAAAAAAGCAAATAGCCATACAACCCTGAGAAATAGATCCGAATATAATTACTCGTGTTCGTTCCGAAATGCAAATACCACGATCTGAAGTGGGGCCGGCAGCCATTTTCACTGCGGCACACAATAAATACGGTAACGCTGTGGCAAAACCAGTAGATTTCACTTCAAAATGCAGCACCTGAAAATGCCTTTGATATCTATCTCCTGGTATGACCATCTCATTATTTTCTGGACTTTAGAGCATAATTTGTTTCCAGAGTAAGGAAAAAGTTTTATGAGTTTAAGTATGTCTCTATCTGATTGAGCTCGATTTTTTGAGGCCAACTTTTCAATCAGCGTTCACTAAAACTGACTCTCTCATGGGTAAGCTTCTGAACAAGAGCTTTTGATAATTTTCATGTGTAGATAGGGATCTACCTTGAAGGTACTGCTCGCCTGCTTTTGATGATAGTTGTCTTGCACATTTGTGCAGGCCTTTCGAATTTCCCATACTGCCAAAAGTGGGCGGAACCAAGAGTTCTTCAGTTGCTGTTCATTTAGTTGTTTCGTTCATCATTTTGGACTAGTGCTGAACCCACCTTATTCACATAAACTGGTCCATAGTAGAGAAAAGTTAAGAATCCAAGATGTGCTCCAACGTCGGATAAGAAAATTCCAAAGATACAAGGATCTCGAATAACATTGAAGAAGGGTACCGGCTCTCGGGCTGACGAATCAGCATAGGTTTTATCAAGTTGGATCTTGGTTAGCTCTTTTTCGCTCACATTTCTGGAATGAGAAGATGTAAGTTTCAACAAGGTGAAAAGGGCAGTTAAAGCATGTTACTTGTGAAGGGTTGGGGAATCCTGGAAGAAATAGCAGAATAAGGCGAAAAGCAGAAGTGTGAACAATCCTTGGAGGTAGTAAAGTGATCTCCATCCATATGAACTTTCACAGATGATTCCGGCTAGTGGCATTGTGATAATCGAGCAAAGCTATAATTGCTACTTTAACTCGAATGGAATTTTGTTCTTTTGGAATTTTGATATATACAAACAGACTGCGCTTTAGATAAAGGATAAAGGATATAATTTTTGGCGTTACTCATTCCCGTATGAGGGATGCGCCCCCGCACTCGACTTCCATTCAGAATCGTATGTGGCCTATACAACGACTTGCGGTGGCCAGCCAATGTACAAGTCAGTGCTTTTATCCTCCCAGACGAATCTGGTACCAATTCACCGACCCCGGAGGGTTGGAAGGCTCGGTTGGCCTAGGCGGGCACCGATCCAGGTTATGAACTCCTGACCGTGCGTGCGAGATAGTGTGCCACTTGCCACTACACCACCTCCGCCC